GCACAACCTCCGGGTTTTGAATCTCATGAGTACCCCGATCATGTTTATAAACTAAAACGGGCGTTGTATGGTCTCAAGCAAGCTCCTAGAGCTTGGTATGAACGCCTAAGTAAATTTCTACTTGATCAAGGTTACTCAAGAGGAAAGGTTGACACGACACTCTTTATTAAACGTCAAGGAAAGCACTTGATATTAGTTCAAATCTATGTTGGGGCAGGTGTTTCTTGCAGAAAACCTTGAGGGTTTTACCCATCAAGACTAGAAGGTTTTGAGGGCTTTTGCTATGGAATAGTTTGTTCAACATTCAAGCAGGTGCGAAGGTAATTGATCAACGGAAGGTTCATCAGTTTAGTAGCGAGGGCGTTGAAGTGTTGAAGACTTTCCGGGTTTGATTTGTTGGTGTCTAAGATCAGCCGAGCCGAAGGTTTGAACAACAGAAGGTTTTTCATTAAGGTGGCTGGAATCGAAGGTCATTCACAACAAATTGAAGGGCTTGATTCATCTTGAATCAAGGTGCAAGAAGTGATAGCAAGCATCAACAACATTTGAGATTGTTTGTATCATTGTCTATCAACTCTTGTGTAAACTGTTCATTCCAACAGGTGATATATGTTCAATATATCTCAATTCTAATTTTAGAATTGTGGGCAGACGTACCCCGAAGCGAGGACGACGGGGGAACTGCCTCATCAAATCGTGTGTTCTTCATTTTCTGTCATTTTCAATTCAGCTTATAAAATAAGTGATTCTAGCTTAAGTGATTATTGTCAAACTGTGATACAAATTGAGTAAGGTGTTGAAACTCTGTTTTTAACTACTAAGTACAATAAAATATTGTACTAGGGCATTTCCAATCTCTTACTCAACATAAATATCCTTTGAGATATTTGTGCACACAAACTGTTCGACAAAAGTCCTGAACTAAAATTGTCTTATTTTGCTTCTAGTTTTTGTGTGCCTTGTTTTTCATTGGAACTAGGTAACCTTGCAAATTGAAGTAAATAATTGATAAGCATAGTTTGTGTTGTGATTTTATTTTTCCGAATTGTCATAAATCCATAGGCTTACGTATATCCGGTTTTCCAATAACCGTTCGTTTTAGACTACAATTTTCCTCGGCCGCTTCCGCACTTAAAACATTTTTAAAACAAATTTTAAATTGGTAGCGCCGACTCGATTTTTAATTGGGGATCTATTCAACCCCCCCTTCTAGATTCGTGCCATAGTCTAACATTAGTTTCCCCAATTCAACTCAGAAACCCTCAAATCCTAAATCCACCACGAATACATCTAAAGGCATACATGGAAAATCATGAACAGAAATACTCCCCATACCTTAGTCGATTTGCAGCTTTCACGATTTCTCTTTGGGACCTTCTGCCTTCAACCTTTCCTTCAGAGCCCTGGCCACACCAACTTTCACGTTAAACATAAATAAATTCCAATTTCCTCTCAGAACTCTATTTTCTCTAACTTAGTCATGGGTCTCACACATTGGGCTTTTCCCTCATACCTTTACTAACTTCCTCAAATGCCCAAATTGCCCTTATTTCACTTATATTCCATTTAATTAATAATAATACTAATAAATTAATATTATATGCTATTAATCAAATAAATATCCAAAAATGCACATTTTTCCAATGTTCACAAAACCACCGGAAATTCACCGAAACATGAATAGTTTCAATTAAACAATTAATTAACATATTCCGATTAAATTTGGGGTGTTACATGTGGGAGTGTTGATTATTTCTCCCAACAAAATTCAAGTACAAAGTCGAAGGTTTCTGTTCGAATAATGAGGCTGAATATGAGGCTCTTATAGCCAAACTTGAAGTATTGTTGGAAATACGAAGATGGAGAGTGTATTGGGTGATATCCCAAAAATACAAAGAAGAGAGAAGCATATTTGAGCAATAGTCTGGACCTACTTTCGAAAACATGGTTAAATCATAAATACCCATATCTTTCCAGGTTTGGGATTTTGTTTTCTCTAATTTTTCTAGCCAACCTAAATAATCAGAAGGATCCTTAAAGGAGGAGCTTACCCGAAATACCTATGGTCCTCATTGCTAGCCCTAGGTTTTTTAGCATGACCTACGGGTTTGTACCTATGGTAAGTTGTGAAGAAGTCCTTAAGTTTACTAGGATCAACGTGTACATCAGGTAAATGACCAAATAAAGCCAATGGCTTACCAACAACAAAAAGAGGAATAAATACCTGGGATTCATAAATTCTTCGTTTCTCTTCAGCAAGCGGTTCAGGTAGGTACTGTTGATTTCCCACCATAGTTGGACCGTTGATGGTGTCAAATGGAGAAAGTTGAGAAATCTTCTTAGGAGCCTTCACGGGTTTAGCAGATTCCTTGCAGGCTTTGGTGACATCTTTGTTAGAACGCTTTGAGGAAGCCATTGTTGAGATAGAGCTAAACTGGGTTTTTTGGAGGAGAAGAAGATTGTGAAGTTAAGAAAGTGTAAAAAGAGAAAAATAAATGAAGAAGGGGTATTTATAAGGTTGGAAGTGGAAACAGTTCTGAAGCAGCATTTATGGTTAAAGTGGGAGTGTGACACGTGTTCTATCCTCTATCCTTAATGAAGCGGTGGCAATTAATGCTTAGCTCATGATCTCTTAGGGTCTAGGATATGTGATGATGACAAATATTCTCACGTGGGGGTGAAGAGACGTTTTAGAAAAGGTAATCATGACCATGATGTCATAGGCGTGCTATAGAAGCTAAACCGTTTATAGCAGTGACTCATCAGCTATGTTGAATCACACATGGATCAATCAAGGCATCAAATAAAGTTATCAAAAAATGTCTTTTTCTTTAGCTATCGAAAATGACATTTTTGGGGGGCAATTTGTTAGCTCCCAAATTCGACTCCTAGTTTTAAATAATGGAACAATAAAGAAAATTACGTGAAGTGATGAGAGGGTTTCGACAAGGTTATGAGACTTGTTTGTTTTGGTCGAAACTACCCTTTTGTACGAGGAGGATATGTTGAATAAGATATGAAGAAAAATATTTTAAATTCTTAGAAGGTGGTTCGACAGAAGATGATGATGTTTTTTTGACGTGCGATTTGAATTCAAATAAAGGAGAGAACTTTTGTTCTTATCCAGATTTGTGAAGAAAGACACGTGGAACTTTTCTAAGGAAAGGAGACATGCCGAACGCCACTTGTCATTTGTTTGTAGGAAGACCGTTAGGCTCGGTTATTTTTTATTATTATAAATAGAAGGTCTTAGTGATAGGATCGAGGTGTTCCAAACTTGGATAAAGTTTTTGAAATTACTCAAAGTATCCGCGTGTAGAGAAAAAGAGTGTGTCGAAGAAAATGTACGTTTGATTACACCATACATTTTACACTTTAATGTAAATTTCATCTTTTCACTACAAAGTCTATCTTTTGATTACACCATACTTTTTACACTTTAATGCAAATTTCATCTTTTCACCACAAAGTGTATCTTTTTATTATTCAAGTTATTTTTTCAATGCACTTAATTGTCTTTGATTAAGTTTCTGCACCTTATCTACTTTAAATTTCGAAGTTGATAGTTGTTAGATCATGGATATTGTTGAAATATTCACTATTTTCCAAACTTTAAAATAAGAATTACTAGCACATGTCTTAGGATTTGTGTGGTCGATCTTGTACGTAACCCAATTCTTTTTCAATTGAAAAGACCAGCGGTTGTTTACTAATTTTCCCAGTAAACACTCACCCCTATTGACACAAAACTAAAGCTGAATGCCATCGATAGCACTTCATATGGGGCTCCATCTCTCTATCGTAGTCTTGTAAGCGCTCTTTAGCATCCCACTTTCACTTGGCCAGACATTTCCTATGCAGTACAACAAATATTTCTCTTCATGTATAACCCCATGGAACCCCACATGCATGCCCTCAAACGTGTTTTACGATAGATTACAGACACACAGTAGCATGATTTACAAATTTATCCCTAATATACTAACTCTTTAATCTCTTATAGATATGCCAATTAGGGAGGGTGTCCCCGATACTAGACGTTCTACCTCACATAATTGTGTATTTATTTGTGATAATGTAGTTTTTGAATCATGTTGATCATACAACCTTCTTCTCGAATTATATTGTCTTCTTCACAAGGCCGCTCTGATTTATTGTGATAACAATGCAATATATCTCTCCATCTACGTCATTTAACATCAGAGAAAGAAACACATCAAAATGAATATTTATTTTATTAAAATAAAAAATAGCTTGCAATCATGTTTGTGTTTTTCATATACCATCACAGTATCAATTGTAGATATTTTTAACAAATGTATTTCTCTAACATTATTTTAAGATTTTAGAGACACTCTTAGCGTCAATCAACCTCTCAACTTTGATTGTGAGAGTAATAAAATATGTCTTTACTTAATCTACAATGATTTGATGTAATTATAGTTATTATGTATTATTAGTTTCTTAAACAAACTTTATTAATAGTTGCATATTATTCCGAAAGCATCAATGATAATTAGGGGAAATTATATTCTTACAGTAATGGTTTCAACCTAACAGAAATATAATAGTTTTGGGGTATACCAACTAAGAAAATATCTAAAATGTGACAACACATCAAAATATTAATGAAATCAAACTGTTTTTGACAATAAATTATATTGTTGTCTCGTTTTTCTAGTTCATAAATATTTTATTGCAGGAACACAAATTCGAATTTATGATAATATATACTATACAAAAACTAATTGTATTATTGTAAAAGAAAAACAAAATAAATTGTTTTGATATAGAGAGATCATTAACTAACCAATTTTAACTTTTATATGCTCAAAGTACCAACTACACTGGCAAGTTGCAAACCCTCACCCACTATCTTACTCATCAATCATGGCTTCATAAATCCACTCAACCACTTTCCATTTTCAAACTCACTGTCGTTTTCCAAATACGACACCGTACTTCACCACCGAACATGATCTCACCGTCTCCGTCACTAAATGTCCTTCTCACACCCGCCGCGAACGCTTCCATCTTACCGCCGACGATCCCTTTCGTCAACGCACCTCAACACCGCCGCTAACTCTCCCCCCTTCATGTCGCCGGAATCCACCCCGTTCCATCTCCGGCATGTCCTCGTTGCAGCGCTGTTTTTCTTCGTCGTTTCTCTATCCTGCATACTCCTCTTCAGAGACGCCGGTTACTCTCACTTCGTTTCTGCTTATTCGCTCCCTCGTTTTTTAACCGTTTTCCCCTCGCCTTCCAATAATTCCGCTGCGGTGAGTTCTGTTTCATGACACGCTTTTTTAGTTTCCATTTTCGCTTTGAAACTATTGTGAAATCTTGATTTAAAATGAGTATTTTTGTGTATGGATTAGATTATCCTAATTTGGTTTTTAGTAACTTCCGTAATCATCAACTGTGATTTGATAGCTATTTTTAGCTATTTAGCATCGAAACCTCTTAGGAAAGGCGTGTCTAAACACCTATGCCGATACTTGGGATTACATTTAATTTATTCATTTTTTCAAATTATTTCTAGTGTCTGGTGTGTTTGGGATCTGCGTGCTTCATAGATTTTTAGCTGAAAATATGGGTTTTGAGTCTATTTGTTTTGGAAAAATTGAAGCTGATCAATTTGAACAATACTATAGATTTTTGAATAAGTTTCTAATATAATGTATAATTTGAATTTCATATATAATTTGAATTTCATATAGTTAATGAAATTTACTGTCTACAAGATGCTGTGTCCTTTTCCTCTCTCTTTGTTTACTTATTCGCCGAGTAAACATTAGGAATTTGTTTCCTAAATGAGTGAATGAGTGAGTGAGACAATGTCATTGTAGTCTATGAATGTATCGAAATCACGAAAAGAAGATATGCTAAGTGGGTCTTTTTTAGTAATTTCATGGACCAAATTGATTACCAGAAGACACATCCGAAAACCAAACTAACCAACAAAAAAACACACAAGGACCAAACTTATTAACAAAAGATATCTATAAGCAAGTATGTTTTTATGATTTTGATACATTTAAGGAGTATAGTAACATCAACTCACACTAAAATTTCTGTTTACTCTTTTATTTACTTGAGAAAGATTGATGACTATTGAGAGTTATTTATCTATTTTTGGGATTTCTACATTTTTAATGGTTGGTTGTGGTTACGGTTGTGCTTGTAGTTGATGGTTGAGGATGGGTCATTTAAGTACAGTATTTAAAGTGCAGTCAAATGCGAATGTTTAGGTTTAAGAAGCTCGGATACAGGGTACAATATGGATACGATAGGACTCAGATACAGGGTACAATATAGATACGATAGGAGTCGGATACAGGGTCAATATAGATACAATAAGACTAGGTACAGGGTACCATATAGATACAATATGACACAGATACGAGGATACATAAAAAATTTTAAAATCGAGATACGTTAACATTTATGTAGATATATAATAAAAAAAAAATCCACAATGTTTATAAAGGTGGCACTATGCACAACTTGCTCATATGTACATAAACATGACAGTAGTCAATACTGAAGAATAGATACCTATATATTTCCCTCATCTATATCAGTATATGTTATATTTACTAAGAATGTGTCAGAAAAAACATACAATTGTGTCTTCTGTTAAAACGGCACATAAAAATTGTATTGTACCCGGAAATACATTTGTGTCTTTAGTTGGTAAGAAATATCAACGATGTATCTATGAAGTATCAGACATATATTTGAGAAGTATCGGTAAAAATATTTTCGAAAAGAATAAAAAAGTTATTGGATACTTTATCAGTACGTACAGGACGCTCATCGTTACGCGTTGGACACCCATACTTTTCCATTTTTGGAGTGTATGGACTTCATAGGCCTAGATAAATTAATATATACCCATTTTTGCTGTAATTTGTTAAGCCCTAGTTTAGTGATACTCAGATGGCTAATGTAGTTCATGATTTCATCTAACATACCTATAGACTTGGTATTTTAAAAATAAAAGGCAGATAAGATTGTTGCTTTGGAAAGATATTAATTTCTTAATTGGAATATATGAGCAAGCTCAGGTCATTTAAACTAATTTAATATTTTTTTGATACACTAATTTTAAGTTATATTTTTCTTATATTGAGTTCTTTTCGGTTAATTATTTAATTGTTGGTCAGTATGACAGAAAATGGACAGACCTGTTAAAAGAGAGGCATGTTCTTTAGTAAGATTAGCCCAGCCCGACACCACACTTTTAAAAAGCGGGCTGGGTCAAGTGAAATTATTCGGGCCAAACTTTGTCATAACTATTGGGACTCATTGGGTTATCCTTGTTTCATGCTAGGATGAAAAATTAGTATATTATTGTTTGGGTAAGATTTGCCAAAATGGATAGGCAGATCCCAACTGACAGCTCTTGTTGTTATTGTGGTTTGTTAGTGTAATTCACTCACAAGTTGTCAAGTACTTAGTTCTTTTGGAATTGATTATTCTGTAGGCTAGGAATGAATATCCACTTGAAAGGATTTTGAAGGAGGCTGCCATGGAAGACAAAACTGTTATATTGACCACATTAAATGAAGCATGGGCAGCACCAAATTCAGTCATTGATCTTTTTCTGGAGAGCTTTAGAATTGGAGTTCATACTCGTAGGCTTTTGAATCATTTGATAATTATTGCACTGGACCAGAAGGCATTTCTACGCTGTCAGGCTATACATACATATTGCTTTTTGCTTGTTAGTGAAGGTGATGATTTTCATGAAGAGGCATACTTTATGACTCCTCGCTATTTGAAGATGATGTGGAGAAGAATTGATTTCCTGCGTTCAGTTCTTGAGCTGGGATACAATTTTGTGTTTACGGTATTGTATTTCAATTTTCAATCACTAACCTTGTCATGTTCACTTGGATTGATTTATGTATTCCTATTTTAGGATGCTGATATCATGTGGTTTAGGGATCCATTTCCCCGGTTTCACCACGACGCAGATTTCCAGATAGCATGTGATCATTTCACAGGTGACTTTGACGATATATATAACAGGCCCAATGGAGGGTTCAACTTTGTGAAGTCCAATAATAGGTCAATAGAGTTTTACAAATTCTGGTTCTCCTCACAAGAAACCTATCCTGGATACCACGATCAGGATGTCCTCAATTTCATCAAGGTTGACCCTTTCATTGATGATATCGAACTGAATATGAAATTCTTGGATACAGCTTATTTTGGTGGGCTCTGTGAACCAAGTAAAGATCTAAATCAAGTTTGTACCATGCATGCAAACTGTTGTTATGGTATGGATAGTAAGGTTCACGATCTGAGAATTATGCTCCAGGATTGGAGACATTATTTGACTTTGCCTCCAAGTTTGAAGAGGTTGTCAGTTATATCCTGGAGGGTTCCTCAGAAATGCAGGTTGGTAATATACAGCTTTTTCATTCTTATATTTTAATCTAGTCTTTGTTTATAATTCGTTCTCTGCTTTTTTTCATTAATGGATTGAATTCTTATTGGTGGTGAAATTTTTTCTCAGCCTTGATTCCCTCGAGCCCAATGGTTCAGCAGAGAAGAGTGCTGAAGAAGATTAAAGTTCTCATTGCACATGTTATTTTCCCATATGTCGATTGGATATTCAGCTGAAATGCGCAAAAGGAAAATTTCTTTTTTTAAAAGAAAAATTCAGGTTAGCTTTATTAATGTAAACGATAAGAATTGGACTAATGCTATTGATGTATAGTCAGATCTAGCCAGTATAAATTTGAAAAGAAAAATTAATTTTGCTAGGAGGTGTTTTTATTCTCGAGTAATTTAAAAGATCTAAAATGCTCTTCAATTCATTGAATATGTCTGTTTTACCCAATTTTGTAAAACATTATGGTGTTTTGTCCATTTTGTATCCTCCCAATTGTGTAGCACAGAACACAGAAAATCCAAGCAATTTATAACTAGTAGTTAGTATTTGATAGGATGGAAGACCTTACTGCTTCTAGGAGAATACCTTGAGGCAAATGCAGGTTAGCGACTCTGATAGCATTTGGTATGCAGATGCCGTTGGGCCATGAACCGATCTCTTGCATATGTTTCTTCACTTTGAAGCTTGTAATTCAAGCATTTGGATAAACTTAGCTGCCATAGACTCCATACTTCCGGTGATTTTTGCCAAGTTGATTTCCTTTAAGCTCTGTTTTTCGAGGGATGCTATCGTGCCAGGGGGAACCAATTAAGTTATTGTTTGACAGAGCGGTTGGTTGTTTAGAGTAGTATATTGTTTGGCATGTTACTCAACAGATGTGCATTTTGAAAGTTTTGCAAAAATATACTTCATTTTAACTCTTCAAAACAATCACTTGTTGCAAATAGGTGGGCCAAATAGAAATAGATTACTAGTCATATGTCATATGATATCTCTTAAAAAAATTAGATTGTCAATTAAACACTTCAAAAATAACTTAGGTAAAAGATGATTTTCGTGTATATAAACACAATCTTAGACCATATCTTACCATCCGACTTATAAGGTGAAAGATGGTTGTTGTGTATATAAACACAATTTTATGTCATATCTTATTAATTGACTTATAAGGTGAAAGATGATTTTCGTGTATATAAACACAATCTTAGGTCATATCTTACTATTTGACTTATAAAGTGAAAGATATTGTTGTTATATAAACACAATTTTATGCGACATATCTTATTAATTGACTTTTAAGGTGAAAGATGATTTTCATGTATATAAACACAATCTTAGGACATATCTTATTAATTGACTTATAAGGTGAAAGATGATTTTCATGTATATAAACACAATCTTAGGTCATACCTTACTATCTGATTTATAAGGTGAAAGAAGATGATTGTTGGGTATATAAACACAATTTTATGTCATATCTTATTAACTGACTTATAAGTGACTTATAAGGTGAAAGATGATATTTGTATATACGAACACAATCTTAAGCCATATCTTATTTGCAGGACAACATTTGCAATCTTGAGTCATATTTTATTTGCAGTGATTTGATTGATAGGTCTAATAGGTATAGATACGTTCTAGTATCATCTCAAAATTTTGGTAAGGCCAATTTATTCCTTTAAAACCCATTTAAAAATTAGTGATGTCTTTTACTTATAGGATACTTTTAGGACATGTCCCATCCAATATAAAACTGTAACGTGGTTGACATGTTTTATTAGTCCAAACGGCTTCACTGGTCATTCAAAATGGCTCTTGTATGTTCTTTGGTGCAAATCCGGTGCGATGAAAGACTTCATATTTGGGTGATAGTCTGAACCGATTTAAATATAAATTACCAAATTAGATTTTTTCACCCAAATAACCAAGTTTCTACACTATAATTTCCAATCTACCCAACTTTCCAATATATTATCCAATCTACCCTAGTTTTTTATTTTTTTTATTTTTTTTTACAAGGGGGCGCCATGGGGGTTGGAGCCTCCCTTATAATTTGTATGGGGGCGCCATGGGGGTTGGAGCCACCTACAAATTATAAAGGGGACGCCATACCCATTGGAGCCTCCCTTAAACAAAATTTAAAAATTATTTTTAATGTTTAATTAGTTTAAAAATATTTAATAAATAATTTTTAATAATTTAAAATTTTTTTAAAATAATAATTTTGTAAATAATAATTTCTGAATAATTTTTAACAATTTATATTTTAATATTTTTAATGTTTCATATTTTTAACAATTTATAAATAAATAATAATTAATATTTTTATTAATAAATTCCAAACAACAAATAAAAATTAAATTGGATTAAATAAATTTAATCACATACAAATGGCTACATTTGAAAGATCTTGTACACTAATTTCTACGACTCGGTCGATTTAAATGTCCGCCCGTACCGCATCTTCGATTACGTTTCTTGGTGGTCTTTGTGGTGGAGTCGGGTCCATTGTGTCGTCATCAAGCATTTGCATCACTTCGGCCCATGAAGAGTCCATATCCGTAAAGTCATCCAAATTAAAAGGGTTGCCCATGCCTTCATAATTATTTTGGGGTGGTTGGCTGGATGAGGCAATGTCAGGACGATAACCTGCCTGATCGTAGGGTGAGATGGGTGTAAAGGTTTGGGTGGGTATGGGTTGATTGGGTGTTTGAAACTGGGAGTATGTGTGGTATTGTGGTGGATGTTGTTGGTATTCGGATTGTGAATGAGTTTGTGTGAATGGAGTGAATTGGTTAGGAGTATGTTCATATGGCTGTGATTGTGTGAGTGGGTTGGAAATGGGGTTGGGTTGGCGGTTGGAAATGGGGTTGGGTTGGCGGTTGGAAATAGTATTGGGTTGATGGTTGGCATTGAGGTTGGGTTGGCGGTTGGAAATAGGGCTGGGTTGGTTGTTGGGGCCTTGATGATGAATCTTGTTGGCGTGGGTCATTAAGATACCTTGGATGTGAAATGAAACCAATTGATACAGACTTATACCAAGTCATGTATTGTATAGATTGTTTCATCTCGTATGGAAACACATTGTCGGACAAAACATAGTTGTTGCGATGCCTCCATTCACGACACTCGTGTTTTGCATACTTGGTCCACGGATTATATTCCCATTGGTCGGAGACTTTACCGTTGTGATATTTGTCGGGTATGCACTTTGGGGGACATGGAATATCTTGAAGCATTCCAAATTGAAGTTTCGCACGATCACTGTTGTGCATTTCGACGGTGGTGAAGTTGATAATGGGCACCTTTGCACTCCACACCGCAGATTCTTGTCGTTCAACTTGATGAAATGCTTCTAGACCAAGATACGGCCGCCAAATGAACTGAAGGATGAAAAAAATAATGTTTAGTATTTTCTAATAATATTCAAGGAGAGTATAACATAAATAGGTAGGTGAGTGAGTTTACATCTTCTTGCGCCAAGTGATCAATAAGATTTCGGTACTGCGTTATACTGAAGTGGGGACAATTGTCATAATTCATTCCAAGCGAAGACCACCTACAAATCGAAAACAATAAAATTTATTAATAATATGATTAATAAATAAAAACACTTTGATAGAAAAATGAGAATTGGAAAAAATAATTACCTTTTAGCGAATGGGAATTCAAACTGATTTTGTTGGATAGGTGCTAGATTGGTCATTCTTGACCAACCCCAAGATTGTAGAAGAACACCACATCCGGTCCAATTTCCGGTATTGGCTATTGAGTTATGACATAGAGACCGATATAGGTGCGCTAGTGTAGCGGACCCCCAACTATATGTTTTTATTTTATCTACGTCATCTAATAAAGGTAAGTACATAGAGTGAACGACGCTTCCACTTGTATCCGGACATAAAAATAACCCTATTAATAGCATTATATAAATTCGGGTTTTTTCTAATTTTTAGAATTTCAGGAGAATCGGGGGTTAATGTCAAGTCTCTATAAATTTTTTTGAGCCATGACATTAAAAGTTTTTGTCCCCTCAAATCTCGTGGGGTTGGTTCAACCCCGAAGAGTTCTCCTATGAAATTACCGGTAGGATTGGTTTTACCGTTAATCGCCTTACCATGAATGGGTAAACCCAATAACATGTATGTGTCCTCGAGTGTAACTGCACATTCACCTATTGGAAGATGAAATGTGTGCGTCTCGGGTCGCCACCTTTCTTGCAAAGCCAAAATAAACTTAGAATCAATGAGATAATTTGTTATCTTAACGACCTCTCCAAAACCTGCTCGCTCCAAAAAAGGTTGAATCAACGGATCATGTGGGAAATATTTATGCCCACGAGTACGAAATTCATGAGTATCCTACAAAAAAAAAATAAAACATATCATTAGAACATTGTATTTGTTACAAAAAAATAATAAAACATATCATTAGAACATTGTAAATGCATTATAATGCTACAAATAAATACAACATTGTGAATTATCAAGTAGAAATACTTACATACGACGCGATGTTGCTTGGTGTTCCTCGATGCGTTTCACCCATTGTTAACAGAGACATGACTTCTATAGTGTGAATATATGTGGAAAATATTGGGAGAATTTGAATTGTTGAATATATTTGATGTGTTTTTTAGAATGAAGAGGAGAAGTATTTATAGTTGAAATTTAGAAATTTGAAATTTGAAATTTGAAATTTGAATTTATGGTTGTATAGGTAAAAATTTAATTTGTGTAGTTGTAATATTTATTGATATTAATGAGATAGTTGAATTTGTGTAAAAAGATATTGATGTGTAGAAATATTGATAGATGAATTCGTACACTTGTCTTACTGCATGCATGCATAAAGTTACTTATTTTACACGTGTCATAGGGGCTCCATCCCCCACGGCGCCCCCCTTGTAATATAAAGAAGGGGCTCCATCCCCCACGGCGCCCCCCTTATAATTTAAAGAAGGGGCTCCATCCCCTACGGCGCCCCCCTTATAGTTTTAATAATATTTAATTCGTGGGATTTTAATCTATATGTATACATTCAAGCAAAAAATAGTATACATCCCTTAAACTATCATTCAACTATGTCTAGAACATCCAATTACATTGTTCATGCCCATTATAATGGAGAGACTTTCATCTCTGAGAATTCGGGTTTCGGGTTTCAAAATACAGATCTTACCCGATTAACCATGAGTAGAAAAGCAAATTTTGTGCATTTCAAAGAGCGCATACAGTCGAAGATTTTGTCTGGTCAAATCTCCCAGATCATTTACAGAAGTCCTGTTTTTTTTTACAACAATGAGGTCAAGTATTTTCAAGAGAAAATACTTGACAACAACGATGTTGATCAAATGTTCGATAGTCACGAACAATCTGGCCTCGACTATATCGAGGTTTATCTGTTACTCTGCCAAACTGAACATGAGGTTGGTGAAACAACGAATATAGATGAAATTGATGTTGTGGACGAGGAGGAAGAAGATCCAGAGACCATGGTTGATCAAATGGTTAATTTGTTCGGGAGCGGGGACTACACTGCAATGACTCCCCTGCAAGACATAAATGAAGAGGCCCTACCATTAAATCAAGTGTATTGTCCTCCTCAACACATGACGAACTTGCAATGCAGTGGCGACGATACTTTCTCAGATTATTTCTACAATCCTTCTCAACAAATTGAAAGTGTCTTGAAAGTCGGAAACCAGTACCGCACGAAAGAGGAATGCATGAAAGCCATAAGAAAGTTTCATATGGATAACTTTGTTGATTTTTACATCAATCGAAACGACTCAAAACGCTATGTCGTAGTTTGTCGTAACGCAAGTTGCAAGTTTCGGTTAGCAGCGTCCTATCGAAAAAGAAGTGATTGTTGGGAGATAGGTTCGATGGATCCACCTCATAGTTGCACAACCAACATCAATCGGCAAGATCATGGAAAACTAAGCTCTCAATTGATATCCCAAGAGATTTTGCATCTTGTGGGCGCGAATCCATCTGTGAAGGTGAGCACAATTATCTCTCATGTTGTTGCACGGTTCAACTATACCCCATCGTATAGGAAAGCTTGGATAGGTAGAATAAAAGCGGTGGAACATGTATATGGGAATTGGGAGCATTCTTACCATCAACTTCCACAGTATCTACTAGCACTTCAGAAATATGTTCCTGGTACGGTTGTAATATTGGAGTCACTACCAACATACACTCCTGAAGGAACATGTGTTGCTGGAAGTAGGATATTTTCTCGTCTCTTTTGGGCATTTCAACCATGTATTAAAGGTTTTGCGTTCTGCAAACCAGTTATACAAGTCGATGGAACATGGTTGTATGGAAAATACAAAGGAACATTGTTGATGGCGGTAGCACAAGACGGAAATAATAATATATTTCCGATTGCCTTTGCCCTGGTCGAGGGTGAGACAGGCGAAGCTTGGAGTTTCTTCCTCAGAAATCTCAGAACACATGTCGCACCACAACCCAACTTATGTCTGATTTCTGACAGACATGCTTCTATTGTGAGCGCCTACAACAATCCTGCTAATGGTTGGCACAACCCTCCTTCTGTCCATGTCTTCTGCATAAGACACATTGCTCAGAATTTTATGCGGGACATTAAAGACAGAAACCTCCGTAAAAAAGTTGTGAACGCTGCGTATGCCTTAAACCAACCATCGTTCATGTATTACCGAGAAGAAATAAGGTTGTCAAGCGTGGAAGCATTAAGGTGGGTGGATAATATTCCAGTCGAGAAATGGACTAGGTCATTTGATGGAGGGTGTAGATGGGGTCACATGACCACAAATCTTGTAGAATCCCTAAACGGCGTATTTAAGGGAACTAGGAACCTCCCAATCACAGCGTTGGTAAGGGCAACGTATTACAGATTGAGGTCACTATTTGCAGCAAGAGGCAAAAAATGGAGCGCTGTACTGCAATCAGGGCAAATATTCAGCGAATCAAGCATGAAGTATATGAGGGATGAAACTTCTAAGGCGGCCTCACATCGAGTTAGACCATTTGATCGTCACGATTACAGCTTCATTGTTGATGAGACAATGGATCACAACGAGGGTCGGCCAATGGGACACTACAGGGTGGAACTTCATAAAAATTGGTGCGACTGCGGAAAGTTTCAAACCTTCTGCATGCCTTGTTCACATGTCATTGCCGCATGTTCAACTGCTCGTCAGGATCCATTCTTGCAGCTATCAGAAGTTTACAAGGTCGTGAACTTATTCGGTATCTACAGTAGCAGTTTTCCAGTGGTAGCTAGTGAGGACTACTGGCCAACCTATCATGGAGACACAATCTACCACAATGAAAATATGAGAAGAAACAAAAAGGGCCGCCCCAAAAGCACCCGAATCACAACTGAAATGGATACAGCTGAGAAAATGGAAAGATTGTGCGGAATATGTCGTCTTCCCGGGCATACGAGGAAAAACTGTCCAAATGTTGGAACAAGTTCTAAGTAGATTTAATTTGGTCTTTAAAATTTGTGTAATCATGCAATTTAATATTTATATCAACTTTTCATTACCACAAAAACGAATTGAATTACTTCTACAGCATAAAATGCAAATCATTAAAATACAACGATTATTACAACATAACCTAAGATATAACAACAATCAAAGTAATATCATCAGTTCCGAACATCATAGACCTAACTTCGTTGTCATCTCTAATTCGCACCCAGTCACGCCGTATGTTTCCGTCTTCGACAGAGAAGTACGAGACAAGTCTTTCAATACTCCTAATTCTTTCACCATTTGGAATGTCTCCTTCTAGCCACCGATTCAAATTTCTTCGTAGTTGTTCTAAACTCTGAATGTTCCAAAACAACATCCTTATCGGAGGCTTCGTCGGTGAAAAAATTACATGCCCATATCTTCTAAGGAACATGACTCACTCTTCTAAATTTGGATGAAACAATGTTAGCAACATGTCTACCTATTTATAAAAAATTTTTTGGAAAACCATAATATAATATTTTAATTATATTAATTATAATATATTTTAAAAATTATTTTCGTATAAAGGGAGCTCCATAGGGGATGGCGCCCCCCTTTAAGTCGTTTAAGGGAGGCTCCAATGGGTATGGCGCCCCCTTTATAATTTGTAGGGTGTCTCCAACCCCCATGGCGCCCCCATACAAATTATAAGGGAGGCTCCAACCCCCATGGCGCCCCCTTGTAAAAAAAAATAAAAAAAATACAAAACTAGGGTAGATTGGATAATATATTGGAAAGTTGGATAGATTGGAAATTATAGTGTAGAAACTTGGTTATTTGGGTGAAAAAATCACCAAATCATTCTAAAAAATTCAGGAACCGAAAAAGGAGTATATTCTAAAATTATTAAAAAACTACTACTAATGGTAAAAGGAAACTTACATGTTTGTAACTTGTGGGACAAGGTAGACAAATTTAGGTTGGGCTAGATAAAGAAGGTATCTCCCTGCTCCTTCAATGCTTCTTCATTCTTGCACGTCTTTATGAAACAAATGTATCATACATTTTTGAAATTAATAGCAATTTTGATTATAATAATTTGTAAAGAAGGTCAGAGCCACATTTCAAGATCATTAATTTTTCAACTGCATCTATTTTTGTCTTCTGAAGGGAATAGAGACGTTGTATGTGGAAATTGATTTATGATTCCTACGAGTTCTACAATTTCACATCTAATATCTTATTTAATA